GGGGGGGGGCTAGCGGGATCATCTCGAACCTCACGGCGGAGCAGCGAAGCATCGTGCTCGCAGACGTGAAGCCGGGGGGGGTTCTAACGGTCTTGGCGTTCGCGGGGACGGGAAAGACTACGTGCCTCAGGGCATACGCGCAGGCGCGACCCCATCTCAAGATTCTTTATCTCACGGTAAGTATCGTGCGACGTGCGCAAGGCCAGTGTCCTGCTAAAAAGTGAACAGTCTCGGTGCGCGGTTTTGTCCGCGTATTGTAGGGCAATATGTTTGGTGTTATATCGGTGTATTGGATCTCGCGAACTTGGTCGTGGTTCTGAGGTTCCCTTGAAGCATGGTTGCGTGCGGTATGGAGACCTCCATGCTCCCACCCTTGCCGAAATGATCATGACGCCGCGCCCTTGGCGATGCTGCGCCAGGGGTTTTGAAAGCAGGTGGCGAAAAAACGCTCACGCCGTTCGAGAAAGCGCCGAAGCATGCTCACCCTATCGCTGCAGTGAACTGTGTTGGATATGTGCATGCATACCTCCACACCTGGCCCCGTTTTTGTTTGTGTTTTTTTTTGCTCTTGCTGCCGCGGCTGCTTCCACAACATTCCAACGCCGCGCCTGTTTATCCTCTGGTACGCGCTATGTATGTCAAACTCGTCGTACTTGTGAAAACGTTTGCGGATGTCGCTGCCACAACAACAGTGCAAACAGGATGTCGCTGCCACTTCCGTCAGACGCTTCATCTGTGTGCCGGTAGTCCCTCCCTCCGCGTCAATCCCGTTGCCTTCCGTATTGTTCCGTAATGCCATCCCTTCCCGCCGCTGCCGCACCGTCACGACAAGTTCAACGTCAGCGTTCGTGAGGAGGCCGAGAAGACTTTCCCCCCCCACGTGGCGTGCAAGGGCGTTCACCAGCTCGCGTTTCGGTTCGTGGGCCGACGGTTTCAGTCCAAGCTCAAGCCGGACCTGAGGGAGTCGGACGTGCAGGCGTTTCTGAAGGACAGACTGGGGAAGGACGTAAGCGTCCACAAATACGCGTAGGCTGTTTATTATCTATGCTTTTTTTCATTAGCGTCTTGCGATCTGTGTGCGTGTGTTTTCTTTTCTGTTAGGTCGTCTGCACTTTGTTTCTGTTGATTCATGTGCTGCTGCCGACTTGGGTATCCGTGCACTGTTGTTGTTTTTGGTGGTGGTGCTGCTGCATTGCCGCGGTGCTGGATCCACCGTGGCCGTAGTTCTAGCCCAATCTAGCGCAGTCCGCGCACGAGACATACGATGCCGCACCCGGTCTACGGTGGTCAGTCACTTACTAGCTACAGTTTCGTTCCAAAGCCTAGTGATGTCGTGTAGTGATTGGTTCGAACTGCCAACGACGATTTGCTATCCTGTTTTCTCCGTCACTTGGTTTGGTGTTGCAGGAGATTGTCTTCACTTCGCCACAACGATTATGATCTTGGACACCCCGGCGGCCGTAATATGAAACCATCAGCTTTGGTTGCAACGGCAATGTTTACGGCCTTCTTGTCCTCAGGCCCGTTGTCCTCATCTGTGTACTGTGTCTTGTCTTCCGGTGCCTCGCAGAAGAAGATCAACCTCGCCACCGCGGCGCGGGTCCTGGCCACCCTGAATGCCTTCTTTTCGTCGGACTCCTCCGCCCTGTCATCGTCCCATGTCATCGCCCCGCCGCCTGAGGTGCTGTTCCAGCAGCAGCAGCAGCAACAGCAGCAACGACGTCAACAACAGCGACAAGAGCAGCTTGACCATGGTCCCGGCGGCGTCGACGAAAGCGATGGGGAGGACAGCGGAAGCGACGATGATAGTGACGATGATGTTGGTGAAAGTGACCTCTCCCGCCAGTCGCCCCAACCAGCAGCAGCAGCACCGTCTTCGTCGTCGCCGCAGGCTACTGCTTGCGCCCAGGGAGGAGCTTCGACGCAGCGCCCCCCCCCCGGGACCGCAAGAAAACGTCGTCGGCGAGCGCCCTCTCCCGTGAAGGACGCCACCGTGCTGGAGTGGGCGGCGATGGCTTGGACCGAGATGCAATCCACGGGACCCCCTGGAGGGGCTGGGTGGGGTGGGGGCGACGGAGGAGGAGCGGCAGCAGCGTCGCTCGGAATGACCCACGCGGGCTACCTGAAGCTGTTCCAGCTGTCGCGGCCGTGCCTGGGCCGGACGTACGACGTCATCATGCTGGACGAGGCGCAGGACTCGAACCCCTGCATCGCAAGCATCGTGCTGAGAGAGACGCGCTGCGCCAGAATTTTGGTGGGGGACAGCCATCAGGTACAAGGACGAGAGAGAGAACGAGAGAGAGAGAGAGAGAGAGAGAGGGAGCGAGAGAGAGCGAGACAGAGAGAGAGAGAGAGAGAGAGAGAGAGAGAGAGAGAGAGAGAGAG